TTAACAGCGAGAAATGAACAAGCTTTCTCCCTCAAAACTGAGCATTCAACACAGAAGTATACTACCAAGTGAGAGAAGCTCACCCATATACAGGGCATTAAAGAGCTGATGCATGCAGACACTGCTCCATCATATGGTGCTGAGCAGATAGAGGAATTGTTAGGTGGTAGCTAACTGAGCACATGCATCTGTTGAGGGGTCACAGTATTTCTCAAATACTCCTCAGCTGAGACTCACATTGACTCCCACTTGGTTGAAGCATAACATCCTGTCACTCTGAGTACAGATTTGATGGATTATGAAGCAAGAAGTTAGGGTTTGTCACTGATGATACAGGGCAGGAGTGTTCAGTGGATCACAGCCCACCTGGGTAAAAAAATCTGAGCTGTGGAGTAACATCCTGTAATTTACAGTATCTGTCATCATAGTTTTTCTTGTGTTCTTTTCTTGTGTCTTGGTCCCACTGGTATCCCAGCCTGGGCTCTCAGAAGGCTGAACGCAACCTGTGGGTTCAGGAAGACTATCTGGGGAGCTACATGCCAGCAGATCTAGAGGAGCTCTTCAAGTAGTAGTCAAACTGGCATTTGGCATTCATGAGCCTGTGCGTGAAATGACTGGTAAAAGATAGAGATATGCCAGGATATTTAGTTTTGGAGGTGTTTGTGTTCAGTCCCACGGCCAGCTTGTTTTGCAAGCTGGAAAAGTGCCCTATATGTTTCTGCAGGTCACTGATTCACAATTCTTCAACTGTGCTGCATAGACACAAACTAGTTACACTTATTGCAGTTTTCCTCATGAGCTGTGTGCATACAGTGCTAAATCCACCAGTTCAGCAACCTCTTAAATGAAAATGTGGCATTTCTTTGCCTCATACAGAGATAGCAAGGTACCCAAAGACTGTAAAAGGACACTCAGATGAAGTATGATAAATTAATGTTCGAAACCTAACTTCTTTCAAACAAACACCATTTTTTAAAAGAAGTTGGAGGACGATCAAGAATGCTGCTACCTTTCACAATATCAAATTTTGGCATAAAATTGGTGTCAAAATTTACCCCTTTTCCATGTTGCTACTTCATGCTTTTTAGATAAAGGAAAATAAGTTTCAGCATAAAAATAATCAGTGAATAAATAAACAAAAAAGCCCCCCGCTTTTAAAAGTGAAATTTCATGGAAACCCTCACATGAAAATTGTCCATCAGGGTTTAGTGAAAACAATGTTTCTCAATGGAAACTTCATTCACCTTTTTTAACTTTTCCCCCCCCCCAGCCTCACTGACAGAATAGATACAGGCATCTTCACGGATATTCTTCAGGCACTGTGTGGGCTTTATAAATCTTTATAAACTTATTTGTGGTGTAATATAAAATTGCAGCCTTGCACATACAATGTCTGCTAATCTCTCATGTGTGATTTTCTTCACAGAGTACCGATATAGCCAAGAATAGATTCCATGCCTCTGCAAAGAAGAACTCTGTATTTGATAAGAAGCAAGTAATCCTATGCACTGAATTGATGTCAAGAATAAAGAGAGTCTCAAGGGAAAACATGACTCAAATGACTGTATTTTACGGATGAAATGGACACTTATTTCACTATCTTCCTTTCCAATAGACTTTGTATTCGAGCACTAATGTTAGTCAGAGGACAAATTGTACAATGAAATAAGAATGGTGGATGTAGTAAAGGCAAAATATTGCATATATTTCTACTGCTAACCTAGTTAAAAATGTCAGACTTCTTTCTCTCTCACCCCTCTCATTGGATATTGTAGAGAAATGTGTTGTTCTGAATGCCTTCCATGAGCTTTTGTTGAAAGAAAAAAATAATATGTATTATTTATGCTTTTTAAACAAAGTGCATATTTTCACTTATAAAACTTGAACTGATAAAATTAAATGGGACAAAGAGTACAGTTTATATCAGAATTTACTATAATCATTGTAATGTTTCAGACCAATAAACTTAGTCAGTTGCTATTTAATGTCAAAGTAATTACCCCAAAATAACATCCATTTGCCAGCCTAAAGAAAACAAAAGTAATAAACCTTTCACTTTCTCCATTAAAGACTCTTTCACACTAGGTTCTATAACCTAGTTACATAATACAGCAGTGTAAATATTTAAAAGGGACAACTAAATTATCTTTGCCAAGAAAGATTTCTTAACCTCTATTAATCCATCTTTTATTACTACTGTAAAATTAAACCTATAAAATGTGGAACACAGTTAAATGTCTTTAATGATGCAATCTGTATTTTTATTTTTCCTTTCAACTTTCTAGGAATGCCTACTTTCTCCATTGGCTTATGACACTTACGAAGGGCAAAAGCCTGGTCCAAATGAGAAAAGTACAATGTATTCTTTTATTTATATGCAATGAGTATTTACTTGAAATCTTTTCTCTTACGCTCATATGAACTGATGCTTTTTTGCTCTCATTATCTGAAACAACATTAGCAAGAACAATTTTCATTCTGAGCAATCACATAGGTCCCAGTTCTGCAAAGTAAGTATCTGAAAGTTAGGCATTCTGTTAGACTGGGAGAAGACTGAGAATCAAGCGATTTTGGTAAAACTGAAGCTAGAAAGTTATGACGTTGGCTTACTTCTAGGCCTGGGAACAAGATGAGAAAGTTACCCAAAGTGTTGACAAAACACAGAACATTTCTCACTGTGTGGCCTGTTGGCTAATGGACGTTGCAACAGGCGGGACAAATCACTGAACACATACACATTCTTAAAACTTAAAACTACTTACAACTTTATAAAAGCTCTAAATAAATCTGTTCAGCAATAGCTGGAACTACAACAAATATTGGTCAATGAGAAGCAGAATACTGAAACTTAGTGAAAGTTGTGCTTTCAATAAGAACAAAATTAAAACTGAAACTAAACCATTGCACATGGAATAGGATAAAAACTAGAACTAATTAATTACACTGGAACTAAACAAACACTGGTACTGTAGCGAGAGCCTAAGGGCCTATTCACATGGATTCCTTTTTGGTACCTTTTTGTAACAAGGCTGTGCTTGGTTACAATTAGAAGAGCCAAGATTTATCCAAGTTTAACTATCCTCTGGACACATGGGAGCTACAGGAACCAAAAGTGAATGTAGTAGGCTTGCAAGTGTGTTCCAGTTCGGGATCTGGACTATAGCTGGAACTATGAGAACTCAGTACTGACTGTAGCCAAGTGGTGTAATGGCTGAAAATTGAAATGAACCATAAATGTGATAACATGGAAATATGTATGAAGATGAAATATCTCACGAGTCAGTCATTATAGTCTCATCAAATGACACTATGCTGTAGAAGTCTTTGGATACCTAAGAGAAGGCCTATAGCATTTATTTGTCTTTTTACAAGTGAGTATCCTCAGGGTTTGCTTCTCTCTCCTCATTGTTTCCAGTCAGGTTGAACAGCAGGTCACACTCACACTGAAAAGAAAAGGTGTGATCTCTATGTATGCCACATTGCACTTCACAATGAAGAGGCAAGAAACTGAGCTAAAGCTATATGGAGATAGTAGCAACAAAGGATCTGGCCTCAAAATCACTATTTTGATAAAGCAATGGTATGAATAAGGCATGAATGACCTTAGGAGGAATTCAGTAAAGGGACAAGGGAAGAAAACAAGATGGACCCAATACGAGGTCACGAAGTTTCTTGTAAACTCAAGCAGCGGTAATGTCACCCCTGTGTACACCCGCTTCCAGACATGGCTATCTATGTTGCAGAAGAAAAATCACCAGCACAGTTTGATAACATACTGATCTTTAATCTATAAAGAAGTTTAAATTCAAAGTTTAACAGTATAAAAGAGTAACAAATATTTTTAAAAACAAAAATACAAGATAACACACAGTTGCATCTTGGTTCCTCCTGCTGCCAAACCTTAGAGGACACAATTTCTGGGGTACAATTCCACCGCATACAGTTTTTCCTAACACTTCGGCATACGTTGAAATTGAAATCAAACATCTTTATTTGTAAAAAAAGCTTTTCCAGGTACAAGTTCAAGTCAGGGTGCTATTATGACTAGGTAGTCACATGTCAGATCCCATGTTATTTAAACCAACCAGGATGAAATCACTGCTTGTTGTAACACTCCTGCTTTTTCACGTTAAGTCCTAGATGCCAGCAGTCCCTATACCACTGCATCGATCAACCCAGCTGCTTGTAACTCATAGTTGTTCAAGAGCTGTATGTTTTTTATCTTCCCCTGCTCTAAATTCACATCAGCAAGTTTTAGCCCCTCAGGCACATATACAAAAATGCACTGAGGGGAAAATGACAGAGAAGGTATGAAACTTGTGTGAAGTTCTTTCAGACGGCAAAGAAAAAGCCTCAAGCAGGGGCGATGTGAGTAGCCCCTCCTGATCGCAACTGTTCATAATTTGTTCAGCTTTACCTCCAGTGGACCCTGAGGCAAATGAAAGAGTTGATACGGACAGCCAGGTGTAGAGGAAGAAAAGGTTGAACAATCTGTTTAGCCTTCCCTGTCTCTTTACAGTTAGATTTACAATTCTGACCCATTTAAATTCTGCTCCTGCTTTGCACTGACCAAAGAAACATGCTTTTAGACCTAGACTGAACTGCATTGGAGTGACTTTACAATTCACCTTACTTCTTGTTGGTTTGCTGTATTAACAACCCAAGCGAAGATAAACAGGGAAAAAATTCCTACCAAAACTTATAATGGAAGACACCTCAAAAATGGATAACAGAATATATTTTTTGACAAGTAGCCCAACTGCAGAATAACTGTTTTGAATCCACTAGTGGTTGCATTCTCACTGTCTGATCTTCAGAAAGCATAACAATAACAATAAAAACAAAAAGAAATAAAATATTGCCACCAATGAAAAATCTGTTCAGTTAAAATCTGCAAACCCAAGTAAACAGCAATTTACACACTTCCCTCAGTCCTGCAAACCTGAAACATCCAACACTGCTTGGACAAATTTGAGAATACAGTAGACTTTTCAGCATAACTCTACTTAAATGACAGTATTGATTAAATAAAAACAAGGCATACTATTGAAGCCAAAATACAAAGAATCGGGTTTCTATGCTACTATTTTCCAAAAAGCTATTTTTTTTAAATGGTTTAAATGCAAACTTTTACATCTCCAACACGTTTCACATATTTCAGACAACAAAAGAATACACATACATTGTATGTGATAATTTTTCAGAACTAGCCATTACATTTTCACAGATTTAAAAAAAAAAAAAAAAAAGTCTGTTTAAATATTTCACTTCTACAAAGTGAATTTACATTTTTAAGTACAAAGTGCAAATACTACAGTTGTTTTTATTGCCTTTTGGTGAGGAAATCTCCCACATGTCAGAGATCTGCCTTGGATCAGTAAGCTTTTCACCCTTGCTTCTTAGAAACTTGCTGAAAGAAAGTTGGAAAAATTTGCACTATTAATGATGCTTTCAATTAATCATGTATAAATATTTATTCTTCATCAGTGTCCACATGCCACTATTAGAATAAGAGTTCTGCACAAATCTATATGGGGAATAAAATAATCCCTGCCCTGTAGTCATTCTTGGCATCTATGAACAAGGGCATGAGTAGCATCTTTGCTGTTTCTTACTTACGGCCTTTTTAAATCTATGCCTGTCAAACACACAGTTTTAGCAACTGCCTGGGCAAGTCCCTGGTGCAATATACCTTTCTGTGGCATGTGATATATAAGGAATGGGCTGCTGGCCAAAGTCTTATGAGCAATCTATAGTTTCCTTGTAAAGTTTTTGCTAGGCTGCAAAAGACCCTCTGGGTCTCATTGACAGCGTGTGTGCATCTACATGTATGTTTGTTGGACAGGGTGGAGCTGAGCAAGGGAAATATACCTGGCCACTGCCCCAGTTCTGTCAGATCCATCATGTATTTGACCTCTTATAGAGCAACCACAGCTGAGACAGCATATTAGTATATGTAGCTGTATTTGTTTTCTTTCAGTAAGCTTGTATGTATGCGTACACATACAGATGACCACGTAGGTGAAAAAAAAGTCTGGAATACATGCCTGACCATACATAAACATACATATAACTGAACTGCCACAATAAACTAGTAGAAAGTGAGCTTTTAAGTGCCCATTTATTTAACTGTGCAAACCTGATTGCTCCTTCTTAGATGGGTGGTTTCCTCTTAGTAGCTCCTACCCAGCCCAGTTGCTTTTCAATAACTTCCTTTCAAGTGCAAACTTTTGTGATGAAAGCCACCTTCAGTATTTGCTGCATTGTATTGTTCGAGTTTGAAACTGCCAACAGATGGTTTGCTGAGCCAGCCTTAATTCAAGGCTATCATTTGTTAGCAACAGCTTTTAAAATAATTGGTGGTGAGTCAGCAAAATTATTGGACAAAATTAAAAAACATAGATGCTCTAGGACACTTTTATTACAGATTCTGCAGGTCGGGATCAGATTACAAGAAAGGGGAGAGGGCTTGTCATGCTTCAAGTGTAATGCACGTGTGCCAGTAATTGGCATTATATAATTAAAATTACCCCTTTGAATGTTTATGAGTTCTGACAGGATAATTGTTTTCAGGCTGCCTTGTTTAAAGCGTAAGTGATTTGTGGGGTGAACTTGAAAAGTTAAGATCACAAACATTTGTTTAAACAAACAGAAACTTATCACATCCCTCTAGCTGTGAGAATATTTTATATTCCATCAGAGGTATGTATGTAGGAGGTCTCTGGTAGAATCCACAACCAGTGTTGAGTTTGCCTTAGGAAGTGTGAACCTAACATCAAACAAATCAAGAGATAAAGCAAGTAACAAATTGACTAGCAACAATGAGAGGACGATTTCTCTTGGCTTGTGGAGAAGTTCATCTTGGGTTCAGTTTTTATCAAATTAATCTAGCTGTCTGATAGATTGGAAGAGATTAACCACAAGTATGGTTTTGGGATATTTTTTCCCAAATTCCTAATTTCCAAGCTGTCCTCATAATACCTTTATATTAATATTCTTTAAAACAATTAATCATTTACTGACGCTTTTGTGGGCACCAGTCATTTAACTAATACAAAAATGAAGCAAAAATGGTATGAAGATGATTCTCTTACTAGACTATTCAAATAACTGGCATACTCAGAAGCCCTTCTTCAGACCCATGCAAAAGTGCAAGGAAGTTGCACCAATGTTGGCCAGAAAACTGAATCTTTAGGGTTAATGTTTATAAAAATAGACACACAAATGAAAAACTCTTTCTTAACCTTTTTTTTTCTGAGCTTCCACCTGAGTCCTTCCTTTTCAGTGTGTACTTCTCTTTGATTTAAAAATTCTGCTCTTGTGGCTTTTGTAGCTCTGAATGACTTGAGTAGCCAAAATTCCATGAACGACATACACTGGTGTTATTCAGAAAAACAAAATAAAGTCTTCGCAGAAAATTGATGCAAAAACGTATCACGGATTATGTTGTCAGGGCACCTGACATTTTATTTGCTAGAATCGTTCTGCAGACCTAACCAATTTTACTTTTAACATACATCAGCAGACAGATGCAAATCCTAGTTCTCCAGCATCATTTTGCTCAGCCAGCAAAGGCATTTGAAAGTGACAGATCTTTTCTCTACACTAAGATTTTAAAAGGTGCTTAAAGCCACCATATAATAATACAGTGGGGTTTGTGCAATGTATAGATTTTCATAGGGCATGGGAAATGAATGGCTTTGTTCACAAAGTAATTTCTATCAATGTAAGTTTGTGTCCATAGTATGACACACAGGAAAATTAACAGAATTCAGTTAAAGCAGAAGGTAAATGAAGGTAAAGCAGTGCCCACCTAGAAGTGTACAGTAATGCTGTTATTCAGGAATGCAGAAGACTCATAAGGCCTCATTTACAGCCATCTCGTTATCACTAACCTACATGCCAATTTACACTTTACTAGAAACACCCACATGCAAACTTATTCTACTTTGCACTTTATACACATTTACTCTGCACCTGCAGTTGACTGATTCAGCTTTCCTTACATAGAACTTAAGTCAGAATTTGTTAATCAGCATGCTGCTTTACATTTTCCTGGAAAATCTGCAGAATGGAAGACGAATGCAGTTTGAAGCTGCAATGATAACTGCTAAAACCCCAAGAAGTTTAGCTGGGCAAGGCAGGAAGGGAGAAACTCCTCTCCTCAATACTCACCTGTCTGCTGGATGAAGTGCTCTCAGTGTTGGTTTTAGGGGCCGCTAAAGGAGGGAAAAGAAAATATTAATATAGTTTGCAAGTTATATGTAATATTCCCAAGAACTGAAGCCCTCATTCTGAAAAGGTATTTTTTAGAGCACAGCTTTCAATAAATGAGATAAACATCCACTTATTGTCTTCCTCAACGCAGGTGTTGCTTCTTTCATGGAATTATATGAAAGTTGAATGACAGCATTTCTTGCCAGTTAATATGTGACATTTGTTTGGGACAGATTTTATTCAGTCAGTGTCCAGCATTTCAAACTTATTAAATCTTTAGTAGTAAATATAGCCTATTATATCAGTGGGAAAGAAGCACGGACAAGCAGACTGTCTGGAAAGCATTCACTTTGCTTAAAGATAGGAACAGCCAAAGACATCGTTCACATCTGATCTGTAAAACAAGAAGATTATCGCCGAGTTTTAAGTTTCTTGGCAGAAAATTCCAAGACAGTACTCTAAATAGGCGAAAAAAACCCCAAAGCAAAACAGTTGCTTGAGTCTGCTTGCCCATTCAACTTCACAAACAAACCTGGGAGGCTAGGGAGGAACCTGCTCTCTTCATCTTCCATGCCACTTTGTTAGTCATCAAGCTGTACTGGGACAAAGGGAGACAAAACTGGACCTTGAAAAATGCTGCAGAAACTACTATTCCCCTGAAAAATAATATTTTGCAGCTCTCTGGCTTTTACATGGCTTCAAATAATTCTTGTAAGATACCTGGGACTACACAGAATGATATAGAGCCACCTCCTTATCTCAGGTCTCACACCTCATGTGACAGGGTCTCACCTATTCCTAGAAACATGACTCTAGCTCTAGTGAAGTGGTGACTGTAATGAAAGAACTAGCAGAAAGAAAAGTTTAATTATCAAGCAGGAGAAACTAAACAGAACACTGATATTCCAACAAAAGCAATTTTTACTGTTTTGTCTTTAAAAGTATGTATTTCTAGGAAAGAAACCAAATTATTTGGTTTAGAAACTTTTTCCAAGTGGATGCCATTATTTTTTTGATGCAAAAGTTCTGAGTTTTTTTCCTTCCAAAAATGAATGTTCTCCTTATTGACTAAATTTTTTTTTTTAAGAAGCTCTGTTAAAAATCTCCACTTACAGTAAACATAATTTTTACTTCAGCTAAATCTGTGTATGATCTTCATATAATTTCACGCATCTTACAACTTTCTTTTCCAAATCAGGCAGTTTATCCTAATCTTTGTTTTTTTCACTGGAATGGGCACCAGAAAAAATAGGGTTTGCTTTCAGTCTTGCTATAATTTTTTCCTCTATGTCCTGGGGCAATGAGTTTGGACACAAATTTTGTACACAATAAGGGATGAAGGAGTGCCAGTTGCAGCAGAAGTATCTTGACATGGATGTTAACATATGAAGTGACTCTAATGGCCTCCAATTCAAAACACTAATCTGGCAAATAGTGTAAATAAAAAAGAAGATATTACATTTAATTTACAGCATAAAGATACATACACTTTTTTACCTCCATCATCTGAGTAAAAATTGCAAGGTATTATTATCAGGTCCACAAAAAACACAGAAAAAAAAATCCTGGATTTGATATATCCATTTTGAGAGATGTTTCTGTGAGCCATAGACACCACTTTATTGTTACAATGTAGAACTACTCTGTCTTTCTGCAGCATTCCCTTTCTGGACTTGAATACAACCAGTTTTGTGGAAACCACTTTTTTCTGTCTGTATTTCCCACTTGACGTGCTTTCATTTCTTACGACACATTTGTTTTACTGCCCTGGCTTCATTTTAAGCCCCAGACAAACAAAATAATTCATGTTCTACAACTTCTTACAGTATGGTGATCTGTTGTTGTTGTTAACAATTACAGGATTTTTTTAATTCTTAGTATCATGAATTGTATGACTTAACTCTTCAGGGACCATTACACACTCAGGTTACCTGTTCCCCCTTCTACCAGTTTGGCAGCAAGGTAAGGTGGCTGTGTACCAGCAACTGTTCCACCTCTTTGGAAGATAACCACATTCCTCACTGTCTCTCTAAACCACATTCCTCACTGTATCTCTAAACCACATTTGAGAAACAAAAAGTCATGAGAAAGCTCAACAATATGCTTCCTAATCCAAAAAGCACAGATGTGACACTTCCACTCATTCAGGACACAGTGCTGAAGTAACATTAAACTGGCTTTTCGATAACTGTTGATGTTACTGTATCCTCTTAGGTTTCCTACTGTAATACATTTAATGGTCAGAATCAACAGGAAGTTTTGATTATTCGTGAGTGATGATTTACGTACACAGAAGCAGTTTTCCTTCCATCTGCTCTGAACAACAGCTGCATTAGCTACAGGCAGGTGTATTCTTTCATTTTGTATACTTCTGGCATATACAAATATCAGACCTAACCAGCTCTCAAGAATCTACTGAAAAAGACAGAAAAAGTTCTTACTATGGCGTTTCTTTGTTTCTGCTTTACCTTCTTCTTTTGTTACTCCCAAGCAGCCCATTAATTCTTGAACTGACAAGGACTTATCATTGTTCACATCACAGTATTCCACAAACTTCTTCACACACTTTTTGGGTTTTGATTTCTTTCTTAGGAATCTCTTGAATGGCTTGATTTCTTTCTTGCCAATATCACCACTGGAATTTTTATCTAGCTGTTTGAAATACCAATGGACCACTCTCTCTTCCAGAGTATGACTTGGATCAGGCTCTGAAACCCTGTAACAGAAAACAAGAGCTTAGTTTTAATTTTGATACATAAACCTTAGTTTATATCTTTATTTCAGAATAGTTAAATCACTGTCAGATGCTTTGTTATATAAACCTCCCTGCTTTTGGACACTAGCTTCTTGTAGTGAATCCATCTTTTTTCACTTTGGCCAACTGTATCCTGAATTTTACACTAGAACTAGGACTAGAATCTGCTCTTCGTTAACTCTCTGAAACTGTGTTGAGGTCAGCACCATACCCAGAAAACAGTGCTTTCCCCTTTCATTTCCTGAAACAGAGAAAAGCGAAGAGAGAAACAGAAGAGAAAAAGACAGTTTCGTAGATGGCAGACACATTAAAACACATAATATACCCAACTGAAGCAGGTCAACAGTCAGCACTGGCAAACACCTAGACTCCAATTACAACTCATGAGGGATGTTCTTAGAGAGAAAACACCTAAATGTATTGAATTACAGGGTAACTTGTAACAATAAATGCCACCTCAACTTCAGATGGTAAGCTCCTGACCTGCAGACACCTGAAGTTTGACAGCACACAGATATTGGTTTGTTTCACAAGAAACTTGGCAAAATATGTATCAGAAAAGTACCACACATTTATCAAATGAAGCCTGAGAGAAGACAAAGACTGAGTCACAGTTGCACCAGCAGCTACAGATAAACACTAAACTGCGCTGCTGCTGGGAATTCAGCTATCAAGTGCATTTCTGTTTAGTGCACGAAGTCGACAGTGGTAACTTTGAAGTAAACTCTCCTACATAGGTTCTTGGAAATCTACCCTTTGTGAAGGCATAAGAAGAATAACTTCTCAAAGCCCTCAAAAATTCATTCACCGCTGCTAGAATCCTTCTAAAGACACACAAAAAGGATCTGAAACCCACCGGCTAGAAGACAGTGATGGATCAGAGACTGCGTGCACCATATCCGTGGACAATGCATCCAAAACACTAGTCAGGAACTCGTTCTTCTTGGCCCCAGGACAACCTAGAAAACCAGATTTTTTTCTTTTCTTGTTCCCTTTTTTTGCAACATTTAAATTCCAAGAATAGTTCAAACTTAGAAATAGGTGTGACTCCCTATACACAAATCCTCATAAATTGTGGACAAGTTCATAACATAATTCAAAGGCAAGCATCTAAGTTCAGGTACATACCTGTGACATAAAGTAGGAATAGAAAAACAACCTTTTTCACTCTAGCAAGTGAGAATATGGTTTTGGCCACTTTAAGATATTTTTTATCTTTATTTTTCTTCTTTAAGATATTTTTTCCATGGGCATCAGATTTTTAGAACAGGTTTGAAACAACCAACAAACACGGACTAGAAGACAATAGCACAATACTTCTTTTGGATTTCCACTTTTGCTCCTCTGAACTACCAATGGCTTTCTCAACATACATTCTCCCAGTCCATTGGTTTTCCTCTCTGTAAAATGATAGTCAACTCCTTGCCTCTTTCACTTTTCTCTTGTTCACGGGTTAACTCCTACTATATGGCACCTAGCCCAGCCTGATGCTGTTAGTTGGTACTTTGGTTCATACTGTAGGATCCCATACTGTAGGATCCTATGGTCATGCTAGATCATCCTTATAATTACACTCCCTATGCCATAAAGTTATTCTCTGAAAGAAACTGACAGCACATTTCAGACACATAATACGTCAGATAAATATACACTAAAAGCTCCACTCTTAGAGTAGTGCAGCTGGAGCAGATAAATTCATCTGTCAAACGCATGAATGTTGACACATGGACATTTGCTTATAAAATACACCTGCTTCCTCTCCTCTTCCCTAGAGCCCTGAGCCAAACCACCAGGTCTTTCTCCTTTCCCTAGCCCTGTAATAGCTGAGTCAAATTCTAGGATGATACACAAGCAATGACATAGGGGTGACAAGCTTGAAGCTGGAGCTCATGGCACGACTTCCACAGACAATTCTATGCTGAAGGCCTGTTTACCTGCAGTTCGAATCTTAAATGGAAAAAGGGAAATGCTTTGAAGTGTTGTGGAAAAGGAAGATTAGTCAATCAGTTGGTATTTGTTATTTCATTACACTTTTCAGTGACCTCTGGAGAAGGCAGTAGGATTACCTGAGCCCGAAAAGCCTCATCTTGCCCAGCACATTTTTTTTGTATACATCCCATGTTGATCCAAGGAAATGAACCTATGTTATATCAGCCCTTAGCTGTGTCGCAGTAAGAATAGCTTAGCTATTATGTATAGCAGCAGCACCCACAACATATTATTGTCTAACACATTCATGCAGCTATGAGTTCCCTGTCTCTTATGTGTTTGCCTCTGGCACCAGGGACATTTTATTCTAGCAACTGTAGAAGGCATATAACAGGAATGCACTGAAGCAAGTTTGGCTGCACTAGAAGTACACATCTGAAGTCAGTTGTCCCTCTCTAAGATATGTTCCTCTTCCCTTAGGCTTTAAATAGTTGGGTTCTTTTTCTGTTACAATGGGAAAGAAAGAAAGAAAAAAGAAATTAAAAAAAAATCCCAAACCAACAGCTATGACTATAATCCTAAATTTGAGTTCAGTGAGACAAGCATTTGAGCTTTCTCTGTAAGGCACAGAAATTAAAAGGGTCGCAGAAGATTAATAGGGAGGGACAGAAGACTATACCAACAGGTTCTTGGCATCATTCTGTACATAATTCAAAAGTATATTCCTTAGAGCAAAGAGCTTGCTAGTAAGGCTCAGACTCTGCAATCATGTAAGTAAATCATGCACTGTGATTTAAATTAAGCCACCCAAAAGCACATTTGCCCAGAGATGAGCAGGCAGAGCCCAAGCAGTTTGCATGCAGAGGGCACATCCTGTCATGTTAGCATGGTGACCTGCCTGAATCAAGCAACTAAGTCTCTGAGCAAACTAGTGAACTCAGCACTACTTCTTGCTAGCAAGGATACTTGGCTTGTGGACCAGAGCCGGTTCTCTTCAAAGGACAGGTAAAAAGAGATCTGTCTGAGGCTCTCTGTGTAGACCTATCTTAAATAATAAAAGCTTTATCCATTTCATGCTGTGGTTGTCTTACTGTCATCAGGCAGAAGCCTGAATCCTGCTCCAAACATGAGTTGTGAATTGATAGAAGGGTCGAGGAAAATGCAGGCAATGATACCTCAGTGTGTAACAATGCAGCACAATATGGTGACAAGACAATTTCACTCTTTTTCTTTCTCTCTCCTTTGTGGATAGATAATAATGTTAATATCCAATTTGACTTAGGAGCTCCACCTGAATTTTTCAAGTTAGTTATGAGAGCATACCTGAAACATCTGGAAGAAACAGAAATTTATGCCTAAGGTAGTTTTCACTGCTGTCCAGGGAGCTGCTGAGTGTACATATGCTACAGATGTAGAGATCAAAATCGTGAGTTACCTTGCTATCTCGTAAGATACAGCTAGGTAGGGGAAAGTATTGATTTCTAAATTCACAAGAAATCACAGGGAAAAAATCCATACTTTAAAGCCTGTCTCTGACAATTTTGTCTACGATTAAGACAGGTTTCTAAATGTGTATTGCATGAAGTTGCAATAGCAGTTGACAGCAACAGAAATCTCATAGAAATCTCGCTGTTAAAACAAACACAACTAGCTGCTGTGAAACATTCTAAATTATAACTCTACTACTTAACGTAAAATGACACCCCACAAAATCCTCACCAGTTAAATACAGAGAAAATATTCAGTTTCTCCCAATTATAATTTTTGCTGACATTTGGGCAATCACACAGCAATTTACCTTACAGAGAAATCTCTGTTCTTTGCAGGTGTTATTAACTCTCTGGAGGCTTCATGCTGAGCTTTAATTTTCAACAAATTTGTGGATGAAATGGCAAGACTGGGGGAACTTTAGCTTGATTGTAATGAGTAATTCACTCTTACTGGACTAAATACAGAAAGGGAAAGTCTCTGACGGGAGCCTTACGCTTCTTGCTATGGTTTATGTACTTCAGTTCCTTCTTCTGCAGCTGCTTGTCCTGTGTGAATTTGACAGCTTACATAAATAATAATTTGTTGTTACACGGTTGAAGTTGAAACCACATGGAGTTAACCTACAGGTTCAGAGACGTAACACAGAGCTGAGTGTTTGCTTTAAGGATAGTTTTACCCAGAGTAAACCTTAGACCAACAAATACATACCACAAATGACGGCAATAGACAAACACCTCATTTCAGCTATAATACAAAGGTAATCAAAGAATCACCATTATACATTATGTATCTCATGTGTACACGTGTCTCTATAAATACATCTACCTTAGTACTCAGGATGTATTTTTTGAGTTAAATTTGTGGGATAGTTGTCTATAAACCTCCTAAAACATGTACCCAAGTGCCTTGGAGGTCCCTGCTTGGTTGATAATAATCTACCACTGTCAATCTTTGAAGATGATCTTTCACAGCACATCTGATGTATTGTATTTTGTTCATTTCTGTAAAAATGTGAGTACAATAGATAAGATTAATCACTTTAAAAGGGGGTTTACATTAACCTTCCTGCAAGAGAGGAAACTGTCTTGAGTCATTCACTCAAGTAATTAAAGGCATGACAACTTCCAATTAGCAAATCTAAAGCTTCTTTTTTATTTCCTATTTGTTAATATGAGTATCAGGCTTAGCAGTGCACTCATATACAATGACCACTCAAATACCTCTGAAGATTATAAATAAAATTTGACCTGCTAATAATCAGAAATATTCATGTTTCTTTTAACATCTTTGACTTCACCAAAATATAGTGGTATATAGGAAAGAACTCTTCAGCAAAGTTTGTCAGTGCTACTGGTTACCCTGGGAGATCAGATAATACAAGGAAAATATTTTTTCTTGGACTTTTATTCTATACACACATATATGTTCAGTTAATGAGTTTATTGCTATTTATCCATATAAATCACAAGTTTGTGTTTGTCTAGATATGCTGAGGGCCCTTCTCATTTTCTTGGAGGGCTTCCTGAGCTTTTATGGAGTTACATTCAGGCAAAAAAAACCGTCAAAAGATGAGCCTGGGAACAAAAATTTGTAACTCTGCTGGAGACTAAACATCATGGCCTCAACAGAGTCAGTGGTTTTATGGCTCACTGAAGTTTCTCCCTCACTGCAACTCCTGGTAACCTCTCACAAACAGTAATTATCTACCTCTTAGTCTTTATCCTAAAGGGGTTGAGGACATTATCATCTCTGCTTGTTAACATCCCTAAGGTATTACCCTTTTTTTCTTTTCTTTTTTCTCTTAAATATTCTTACTGATTAAAAGAATTAAGTTGAACTCAGAGTCAAATTCTCTGTTACACATGCTTACACAAATTTTGGAAATAATGAAGTAGAACAGAACAGATGTTAGCTGGAGGGGAGCTACAAATCCATTGCTTTGGAGCCCCAGATCTCTTTGTCTTACAGGGAAGAATATTATTGCTGGAGCAGGGCAGGAAGCAGATTTCAGTTCTCTGCATATATTTATTTTTGCTACTATTTTAAAATGATCTTTCTCTTCTAATTTGGGGAGTAGAGGGAAACAAAAGAGTTAACAAAGGATGATCTCTCAAGGCCCTACCCTTCAAACCCAGGCATTCATATCATACCGAGGTGCATTGAGTGGGATTTGTCCAACTTGAGCCTGCTGACATGAAGTGTCTCACCCATAAAAGTTCTCTAAGCTCAGTATAAAAAGAATCCATTCAGAAGGCACTCATTCCAACTACCTTAGACTTTTTCTTAGAGTAGGATAAGATCTCCATTAAAAAGTATCTTTTCTTTCAAGTTAGCTGTCTTTTCCATACAGCTAACTTACACTCCCAGCTGGTTTAGGCCTGCTTGTGATGAATTCTGTATGTATCTGTTTTATAAGTTCATTTAGGCTCAAACTACTCTTTTATGCTTTGGGTAAATGTGGTAGAAAGAAGGGATAATGTTCATAGCAGAAACACACATGATCCTGTAAACAGTTTTCACAGGAAGCTGAGTGACAAAG